TGGATATATTATTTAAAACGTGGATAAAATATAATCTTAAAATTATGTTTTCTATATTAAGAATAAATACTTTGAATAAAGTCTCTTGTGTCTTGTTACTGTTTTTAAAACTGAACATTGATCACTGAATAATGTTCTGGTGTTCTTTCGATGGCTTTTTTGCTATTGGTCAATGAGTGTTACCCCACTGTGCGTTTGGGGATGGGGAGAGTGATAACGTCACCAGAAAGGCCCCTGAATTGTCATTTATTGGTGGACATTATTGTTGGGGTCCTCTTCTTCAGATTTTCAGCTCCATAAAGTCAGTCTTGATCAATGAGAGCGACACAGAATCCTGGTATCTAAAGTCAGAATGGAAGGAAACACACACACATCCCATCCTCCCCCATGCCTTCCCATTCATGAAAGGGTTCATTGTAAAGGTGATTGTGTTCCTGCAAGTCTGGAATCGCCAAAGAAACACCTGTACCCCATTGAGAAAAACTCCTGCTTCCTGAAAGACCAGGAGGAAGACTGGAAATGGGAGGGATCTTGGAGTTTTAGGATTTAACGGGAAGGACAGCGACCTTCGAGGCATGCTGCTTTACTACTGTCTGCGTTGAAGTGATAGGATCAGAATCCCAAACCTACACATTGTAAATTTCTCCTTCCTGCTCTCTGCTTTGCTTCACAAAAAAGCCACAATCATGTATTTGCTCATTGTCACATAGCTTTTGATTTTCACATAGATACCTGCTATAAAAACTCCACGCTTATTTTGGCTCACTTCTTGTTCATGGCAAGAGGTAGGTGGTCACCCAACTGGACATTAAAATCATTTCACTCGCCCTGGAGTCTCGCAAGATTTCCTTGAACCGCTACACACACTCACCTTCAGAGAGTAACATTTCTTTGCATTGACAACATCCATACCTGCCTGTTTACCATTATTCTGGCCACCAGATCACCTATCCAGAGAATTTCTGCATGGTCACCTTGTCAGAGGGAGAGGTTCAGAATTAAGGGAGATTTTTCTCTGAAGCTCTGGTGAAATTTATAAAGTTGATACTTTGATGAAGCTGAAGTTGATACCAGAACTCTGGTTTCCCTGAGTCTTCTTTTTCCATTTTTCCATACTGACCATTCCCCTTCTGTTTGCATCACTAATTGGGCTATGGCCTGAGGAGTATTCTGCTGTTTAAGGTGACTTTTGCTTTAATCTTGTGCATCATAATTTTTTTCTGGTGTTTTTGTCATTGTGGAAAGTTCACATAACCTGGAATATATCCTTAGCTATTTTAAGTGTGTAGTTCAGTGGTATTAAATGTGTGTATAAGATTGTGCAGTTTCCATCACCTCCAGAATTCTATTTTGTACTCAGTGAGCAATAACCCTGTTTCCTGCCCACCCCCACAGCCCTGGCAAGCATCATTGTAATAAACAATGTTGATATTGTTTAACATCAAGAGTTCAGAGATACACCCTCTCCTGTTAATGGTCCATGCATACTTTGATTTTGTACTTGTGAACTTCAGATGTACTGAATTTGTGAAATAATGTATGTTTCATATAGAAATACTGTTTACGTTGACACTGAAAAATTGTTAGACATTGTCCTAAGCGCTGTATCTCACTTAAAGATAAACAGATGGATCTAAAACTTAAATAGCTTATCCCTGGAGCTGTCACTGTGGCATGGCAAGTTAAGTCTCAGCCTGTAACACTGGGATCCCAAATGAGTGCTGGTTGGGGTCCCGGCTGTCCCGCTTCTGAGCCAGCTCCCTGCTTATGGCCTGGGAAAGCAGTCAAGTACGGCTTGGGATCCTACATTTGCATGGGATACCCAGCAGAAGCTCCTGGCTCCTGGCTTTTGATCAGCTCAGCTACAGTCATTGTGGTCACTTGGGGAGTGAATCACTGGACGGAAGATCTTCCTCTCTGTCTCTCCTCTGTATATATCTTACTTTCCAATAAAAATAAATAAATCTTTAAAAGAAAAAATAGAGTACTCTAAGTGTGGTTAATAGAAGAAAATGAAATAACTACCGTCATCTGATGCCTCCCCGGATATTATTAGGAGGAAACTGGAGTAGTTGATCAATTTGTTCTGTCCTCCAGCTTCTGTTCTGGTACCAGGTGTCCTCTGCAGGTTCTAATATACTGTCATAGCCTCCATGTCCAACTGGCCATGTTGTCCACTGTTTCATCTAAGCCACTAAGGAAGCCCAGCTCTGACACAAGCATTCCACTGTTAGACCATGGACCCTGCAGTTTTCTCTATGGTTCCAAGTTCTGAGTCCAGCTGTTCAGTTGATCAATTACCCCAGCCAAGTGTTGGCAGTGAAATTCTGGGCTAATGGAGACTCTAGGATGTACTATATGCGCCAGTGGATTCTGGAGAGATTTCATCATGCTCAAAATTACTAGATCAGCAGCAATTCAGAACTGTTAAACCATCAAAACCACTTGAGTGGAGCCCTCAGAGCATGCTCCATATTGGGAACCTTGGGATGGTTGGGAGGCTGGGTGTGGCTTTTCCCCTTATTTCTCTCCTTCCCCCAGATATGGGAAGGAAAAAAGAAAATGTGAAAGCAATGGTCTTACCCACTTTCCTCTAGCCCTTGACCCTTTGCGTCCTAATCAACTATGTCAACTACATAAAGATCATCAACAAAATTGAAGAGAAAAAAAAAAAAGAGAGAAAGCTGGATCAGAAAGTAGCCAGAACTCTAAATGATACTTTGAGATGGCATGTGGATGTCCTGAGCTGCAGTTTAACTTGCTGTGGCACAAGGCTTGTCCCTGTATTCATTTTTGGTATTTGCTTATATTTGGAAGACATTAATGCAGCCATTAAGTGATGTTTACCAGGAAAACATGATGCTCTACTCACACTCCCAGGAATTAGGTACTGTTGTTACTGAAATGCGCATTTACGGGTAAGACCAAGACAGTGAAGTTCAGGCCACATAGCAAATAAGTGGAGCCAAGATTTCAATCTAGCCTGTTTAACAGAAGTGTTTGGCTCCTCCCTCTTTTCCAAATGGCCACCATCTGCTGGTGCACTCCCCAGATGTTTGCAATGGGGAAGACTGGCCAGGCCTGCTTTGGGAGCCAGCAGTGGGGTCCCAGCTCACTTGGTGTCCCACACAGGTGACAGGAATGCAGCTACACATGCTGCTCAGGAGGTGTATTAGTAGGAAGCTGGAATAAGGAACAGCACTAGGACTGGAACCCACACACTCCAATATGGTGTGCAGGAGTTCCAACTGATACATATATTTTAAACATATTTATTTTTATTGGAAAGTCAGAAATAGGAGAGACAAAGAGAAAGATATTCCATCTGGTGGTTCGTTCCCCAAGCGGCTGCCACAGCCGGAGCTGAGCCAATCTGAAGCCAGGAGCCAGGAGCTTTTTCCAGGTCTTACATGTGGGCACAGGGTCCCAAGGCTTTGGACCATCCTCTTCTGCTTTCCCAGGCCACAAGCAGGGAGCTGGAAGGGAGGTGGAGCAGCTGGAACATGAATCAGCATCCATATGGGATCCTGGATTGTGCAAGGCAAGGACTTTAGCCCCTAGGCTACTGCACTGGACCCCCAACTAATATCTTAAGCACTAGGCCAAAGGCTTGCCCCAGGATACATGTTTATAACAGCCGCCTCTTGCTTTTTTGAGCACTTACTAGCAGCCAAATCTAAAGCCTCATGCTTACTGTATCATGTAGGCCATGAACCCTGCAATGGTTGACCTTTGTATATAAATTAAGCTCAGTATGGTTTGGTAACATGTCCACAAATGTGATCTAACAAGCAAGGCAGATATTTCCAAGGTATATGGCTGTAGGAACATCCAAAATCCCTCAGACTAGGGGCTAAATGGTGGTTCAACATGGTAATCCTCCAACTGCAAGCACTGGCATCACATAAGGCACCAATTCCTGTCCCAGCTGCTCCACCTTAAATAAATATTGCACAAAAGACATATAAGCAGTCAAAGCCATATGGGAAAATGCGCAATATCATTATAGAAATATAAATTTGAATCACAAGGAATATCTCACATCTGTAGAAACATTTCAAAAAGAAAAATTACAATATGTTTTGATGGAATTGTAGAGAAAAGGAAATCTTTTGCATTCTACTGTTCTAAATGTAAGATAGTTCACCCACTGTAGAAAGCAACATGGAGCTTGCCAAAAGAAAAATAACAAAATTGCTACATGACCCTGCAATCTCACTACTGGTGCGCATATGAGATCAGTAATATTGGACAGGTATTCACACTCACATGTGTGTTGCTGCATTAATCACATTAGCCACGATAAGTGAAAACACAGAACAACAAGTGCCACATGGTGTCATTTATGTACAGAAGATGAAACATAAAATCACAAATCATAGAAACAAAGTAAAATGGTTATCAGAGTCTGGGCTGATGTAGTTGACCAAGGTCCAAGGGCCAAAAAAATTCAGTTTGACAAGAGTAACAATTTCAGATCTATTGTACTTCATAGCAATGCCAGTTAGTAATCAAATACTGCATGCTTGGGAAATTGCTACGAGAGTAGATTTTAAGTGTTCTCATCAGAAAAATAATAGACATATGAAACAATCCACATATTAAAAATAGCAAATAGTTCAATTTAACCATCATAGAATTGATATTACATTATATTACAATTTATTAGTATGTCAAAACCTCATTTTTCATATCACAAGTATAAACAATCTTTGCTTGTCAATTTTAAAAGGAGCTGGTTATAATTAAAAGCTCTATTCTCTTTTTTTCTGAAAGAAGGCTTTTATTTGCAAAAGAATCACATCACACCAACTTAAACTTCTTAACATAAGCTCTCATGAAAATTGAATACATCAGAGCACAAGAATGTTTTGTGTCTTTGCTAAGTAACACTAAATATTCAGAAAATAACATTGAATAAGGGGCAAGGGGAATGCTTTCTATACCAGGGGGTTAACCGTAATTCAAAACCAACACCCTGTAAGGAAAACAAAGAAGCTCTAATCATCATCATACAGGACATTGCTTTCTATGGTGCTCATGGGAGAACGTTTAAAGCTATCAAGATATGTCAGAAGTTTGCAGGATATAAGCCCATAGTAAGTCTCCAACAGTGTACATTCCTTCCCATCATTAATTTCCTTCCACGCCAGGGACATTTCGGCATCTGTGGTTTCTGAGGATGTAAAAATGAACTTGTAGCAACATCTGTTGTATCGGATGTGTCTTTTCCCAGAGAATCTTGAACTGTGCATGGGAATAAGGCCAATGGATTTTGCACACATTCCTATAAAGACATCAGCAGGCACCCTAACAGGGACCTCTTTGAAAACTACATACATCATCCGAGCCACTTCTTGAGACACTACAAAGGTCTCTCCACTGCAGTAATCTGGGTAATATCTTTCCGCATACTCACTAAGAGAGACAAATTCTTGGTGGTGAGGGTCTCTGTTGGGTGCACCCTGATGGATAACACTGCCCACATAGATATCTTCAAGGTGTTCTTTCAGATTGAGAAGGTAATCTACCAGGCTTGGCAGATTAACAAACACCCCTTCATCAACCTTAAGAATGAACAGGGCATTAGGACAGAAAGTCACAGCCCACTGTGTCATGGCAATCATCTTCAGGGTTTGATTTTCAGAACTATCCAAGAAGATCCCTTCAATGATATCATTATCCTCCCAGGACTCTTTATCTATCTCTTTCTGAGTAGTTACCAAAACAGGCATCCCTAAAGCGAACAATGTGATCACAAGGTGCCCTCGGATATTGGTCATGCTACCCCAGGTTTTCCTGATAAGGTCTCGTCTTGTTCCATTTCCTGGGCTACTAAAGATAAGAGAGAGCAAGAAAATGTTTTTCCCTTTACACACTTCTGGCTGATTAAGAATGTAATACTTGGAGAGATTACTTTTCTGGGGCTCCATGTTCAATTTTCTTGCCTGGTCCTTGATTTCAAGAATTTTCATATCTACATGAGGCAAAGAATGCAAAAAGTATTCTTCCACAAAATCAGCTCCAAAAAGTAAGGCATGAAATAGGATGACATTAAACAGGATGAAGCACCATTGGTGGGTCCGAAGTCTACAGAATGCCACCTAAGCAAGAAAAGGACATATGGTCACTTACCATCCAATTCCATTCTTATTTTTGTGCCATTGAAGCCTGTATGTGTCTTTTAGAGCCTGTAGCCATCCACTCTATTTTAAATATGCTTTATTAAGTATTATCTGTCCCTCCTGCTATGTTATCATTTATGGGACGGCTGGCATAAATTCTTCCTATGGCTTCTGAATCCACTGTCTGTCAAGTGAGTAGAATGTTAGTCAGTTGATTTCCTGCAAACTGAATGAATACTTTCTTACTTTATACAAGCTACTGTGTTAGATACTGGAGATACAAAGAAGAATCAGACACAGACATGTGGATATGACAAAGTGACATCATTGTGATAAAGTTATATAGGGACATATCTGATGTACTTCCTGGAATTAGAACACTTGGGTCAGTTTCTTCTCTAATTACAAAGGTCAAGGGCGATTTTTCCATGAAGTGGTTACTTTTGTTGGTCACTCAACACTGGTTCCTATGAAATATGCACATACTTTCAGTGTCACTTTCCAATTTAATACTGAATCGAAGTCTGTTTTGATGATGTCTCCTCTATCATCTGACCTATCAATATGTGCACGTACTTGCAGTCTGCAAAGCACTTCTGAGATCCAGCAAGGACACAAGCCAAGCTTCCCACACCTCGTCAAATGAGGTAGAATATTTCTATGGGGATGTACTTACATGGAATTAGAATATAACAGAACTGGGGACCAGGAGCTTTGATCAGTAAAACCTCCTGTAATAAGAGCTATTTCTTACTGAGCACTCACTCTGTGCCAGGCCTTAATTCATTCAGCACTGGCAATATCCCTTGCAGACAAGTTATCTTCAAAATTAAGCTGACCAACTAATTACCAACTAGTAATATTTCCACACCACCCAGTGAGTAAGGGTTGGTATTGAGGGAATGATTTGAACTCAGATCTGTCAGATTCCAAAGCTCATTCTGAACTACAAAGGATTCTGACTCCTATCTTTATTTTTCCATACCCATTGCATAGAAACAAAACAAAACAAAACAAGCTACAACTATCATAATCTGAACTCCTTGCCACTTTCTCAGTGCTGATAATTTACACACAGAATAAACTTAAAGCCTATTTTAATAGCTATCAAATGTTTTAGTGGTGATCAAAAACCTACCTGCATGTTGTCTGTGAGCAATTTCTGGGCACCAGGAAGTTCTTGGGCCCAGTGATGCCCCGATGTATGTCAGGATCACTCCAGACAAACAGCTATTGCAGGAAAGTACACGGAGCTTCAGACTTTAAGGATAAGGTTTCTTGCCAATCAACCTGAGCTTTTGTCCCAGAATACCTGTTCACCACATGGGAACGTGAGTGCTGATCAAGTTACAGCTCAGTAAATCCAGAACAAAGACTAGAAAAATGGCTTCAAAAGCATCTTACCTTGTGTATATATATCATGAAACTGATCCCTTCTCTTTATGCTGAGTTCCTGGTCAGATGGATGATCTCTGTACTCTTTCAAACAAAGAGAAAAATCTTTAAGAAGAAAAGAAATAGTATTCAGCACATTTTCATGTTCCTGTCACATAAACAGCTATATTGACCACTTTGTTCTCACACCAGGCTACGGTTCTTTTTCTTTCACATGTTGAACTGCTTGTCAACCATTCATTGCAAGTTTTGTATTTATTTGGATAAGAATAACTCCTTATGTTGAAAGTTGGCTGTTTTCTAAACAATCATCTTTCAAACTTGGAAATGTTTATAAAGCAGAAAAACAAACTAAAAATCATACAAAGGGGTATTTTTGATATATGCTGAAATTAATCATGAAATGGGTGTTGCAGGTATTTCATTAAATTAAAACATGGATTCTATGCACAGTTTGCAACTTGTGATAGTCATTTAGATGCTTCCTGAGCTTAAAATTACAGTCTGGCTTCTTGGCGTATGAGGGTTCCAACAGCATTACCTCTGGGGGCAGTTCCATCTGGCATTTTCACTTTGATTCATCAAATTCCTATACTTCTAGGGCCGAGACAGTTTGCTGCAAAGATACGAGTTCTTGGCATTCTTCACTGAGTTCTGTTTCATAGAGATTGTTCTCTCTGAATTTATGCCTTCCACATTTCTTAGAGTATTTTCATCAGTCTTACTCTGGCTCGGAAAGGGCTTCTGGTTGTTTATCAAATTCAATCTGCTCTCTCCAGATCTAATTTTTAAGAAACCATACTTGGCTCCACTCCCGATCCCCCTGTTTGTATTTCTAATATTTCAACTCCTCTTGATGAGAGAATTGTGTGCTACTACTAGCTGAAGATGTGATTCTATATATGCTATGTCAATACACTTAGATTATACTGTCCAATATGGTAAGCCATTAGCCATATTGTTAATACTTGGATTTTACTTAAATTTTTAAAATTGTGATTACATAATCAAGGGACATGCCTACCCATGTTGGCCTCTGATAGGGTGGGAAAGGTTGAGGTGTGGAGAAAGGTGGGTGCGTGTTTTGTGTTGTTTTTCCCTCCTGTGTCCGCAGGGGTTGGGGCAAGGGATGTCAAACAAACAAAAAGAACCACATCAGCACCCCGAGATGGGGAAGAGTCATTTGATGACACCTTAGAGACCTGGATGAACCACACTTTTTAAAATTAAACTACATGTTTAGTTTCTCAGGTGCATTGTGCACTGTCTGGATGTTCGCGTTTGTGGGTGAGAACATTTTTCTAAGGCCAGGAGCCCTATTGGACAGTGCTGATGTAAAGCCGTGTGTGTGTGTGTGTGTGTGTGTGTGTGTGTGAGAGAGAGAGAGAGAGCGCGCGCGAGCGAGCGCCCCCCATAGAGCTTACAAGTAACCTGGGCTCTGAAGTCCCCTTCAGTCGCTAGGGTCTAAGGCAAGTAACCTAAACCTCTGGCCCTATTTTCCCACCTCTAAAAAACAGGGCTGATAATACTAACTATCTCCTAGTGTAGCTGTTTGCCCGTTTCATCTCAGAAGAATCAGATGAGGGGCTGGCCACACTAGTTACGAGGGATAGCGGGCACAGCCAGGTCAACACTGGGTTTCAGAGACTTTGGTCTGTTGTCTGCTGCCCTCTTAACCTCGCCTGGATCATCACCTCCCTAATTTTGCTTTATTTTTCTTCTTAGCATTTATTTTCCTTCTTAGCATCATAACGGGCTTAAATATGCTTCACGGGGTGTGTTCCAGTCCAACACTCGTCCCCTCGCCCCACGCCGAGTTTGGGATCTAGTAGGCAACCAATAGTATTTGAACTTGGACCGGTCCGTTAATCTGAGTCGTAATCCCCGCTCCAGTAAGAAAATTGCAGCTGAGGTGCTTTGAGGGCACTTCGGTCGGGCACCCGACGCCTCTAAGCCACCGTGAGCGCCAGCAGTGCCCGCTCCCCGCCGCCCCACAACATCAACCCGACCCGTCCCACCCCAGTTGCCCGCCTCCACCTCCGGCCGGAAGCGCGGCCGCTTCCGCCGGGACGCGCGGAGATGACGCAAGCCGCACCGGAAGCCGCTCCCCCGTGAGGCTGCGGATCCCAAAGAGCGGCCGGAGGGCCAGGTCTGTGGACACAAGGCGGGGCGGCCGGGCGGCGGGCAGGTCTCGCGTGGCCGCGGCCCTGCTGACCCGCGGCGCCTCGGGACTGTTTGTCTTTCTGTCCCTGCAGGCGCCATGGCTGCGGAGCGGACCCGGCCGCTGCGAGGCTCCGGCGGCCCGAGCGCGCCTTATCGGTGTGAAGCCGGCGCGAGGTCCCGGGCCCCGGGGCGCTCGCTCAGGTCAGTGCGGCGCGGGACACGGCCGCGGGAGCCGCGAAGGCATGGGGAGGGTGGGTCTCGGAGCTGCCTGCCGCCTGGAGAGGCGGGTTAGGAGGTGCTAAGGCGAGGGGGGACCGCGCCGTGATGGTGGGTGTACGTGCGGGCAGGTGTGTAGGACCAAGGCTGTGCACTTTGATGGCGAGTAGTAACGGTAGCTGGCGTCTAGCGTGGCGGGAACGGCGCGAAACGCCTTCCTCCATTGGCCTGTTGAATCTTCCCTCACCCACATCCCCCGAAAAAACCCTCCTTGTGCCGTGCGTGGCCCCGTTTGCCAAGCGAGGAAAGTTGGACTTGAGATGGTCACCCAGCGGCAAATGGAATTGCCAAACCCCTTGTTTGACGATCAGGATCGCGCGTCCGTATTCTTTCCAAGCATCTTAAAAGTTCCTCCTAAAACCAAAGGGATGTTCTTAAAGCAGGAGGCTGACACGGTTTTAAATGCAGAATAGGGTACAGTTAAAAGGAACCCCGCACCTCTGCTCCTCAGCTCAGCACTCCCCTCTGGAGGTAACTTGAATATTCCAAATGGGTTTCCTGCACTGGTAAATTTGTTGAGTGCATATGCATCCTCACATCGGTACTGTGCAGCCTTTTGTGTTTGTTAGGAAAAGGTGGGCGAGAGGAAGCCTCCTTCATGATGACTGCTGATGGTTCGGCTTGGTTCTTCACTCGGCCAGGCCCCTTGGTGGAGTCGCAGGGAAAGTACATTGACCTGTTTCACTGAGTGTCCTCATTAGTAAGGCCTGGGGTTTCAGGTTTGGTTGCTGTGCCATCCCACCTCGTAGGCCGCGAGTTTCTCCATCCGTTGGTTAAGGCTGTAATGCCCATCGCTTCTGTGAGGCTGAGGTCAGCGAAGTCACGCTAATGAGCAGTACTGCTTTAAAAAGGAGCGTGCATACGCGCCTGGCCTCCATGGATGTACCGGCAGTTTAGCAGGGACCAGACCCAGGCTCCCGTCTCTCCACTCAGCACCGCCCACTTCCTTAGCGCTTGGTGATTGTTATTGTTGTTAATGTTTAGTCTGAGATGGAAAAACTGAAGGTCAGCACTGCAGGGAATGTGGGGGAGGTAGGCAGAAAAGGGGGCACTTAAATTACAGTCAAGGTTGAGTCTGGGAGTTTTCACATAAATATGTTTAGAAGATTATTTATTGTCTATTTGAAAGGCAGAGTTGCGGGAAAAGGTGAGACAGGGAAAATCCGAATGCTGGCTCGCTCTCCAAGTGGCTGGAACAGCCGGGGCTGGGCCAGGCTGAAGCCAGGAGCCTGGAGCTTGTATCTGGTCTCACATGTGGGTACAGGGCCCCAGCACTTGGTTTGTCTTTTATTGCTTTCCCAGGGATATTATCAGGGAGTTGGATTGAAAGTGGAGCAGCCAGGCCTGGAACCACCATCCATGTAGGATGCCAGTGTTGCAGGGGCAGGCTTAGCGTGCTATACCACAGTGCTGACCCCTAGACATTTTTAAGAAAAGCTTTGTCATGACGTTATAGGATTGAAAAGGATCAGCCTAGCCTCAGTGCCACAGAAGGCTTGCAATAACACAGGAAATGCTGTGCCGGGTACCTGCGGCTGGAGACTGTGCTGAGCAATATTCCTGCTTTATTTCTGATTCTCCCAGTTCTGGAGTGGAGTAATAGTTCCCGTCTTACAACAGACTGAAGTAGAGCAGCTCAGTGAACTCATCCATGATCAAACAGGAAGTCTCTTAGTAAAAGATTCAGCTGACTCCAGTGTTTTCATTTGTTCCATTTTGTCTTGTCTGTTCATAGGAGTGGGAAGTTCACCCTTCTCAGGCAGCTTTTCCATTGTTGAGAAGCTCTGAAGATTGCAAAGCTCCTCCTCACATTGCATTGAAATCCCATTTCCTGAGCTCTTCCCCTGGGGACCGTGTGCTGTTAGTACATGATCTTCTAAAGACTGCCCAACAGGATAGATCTGTGACCGCATAAAAGGCCCTTCCAAAGTTAGTTGATTCTTTTACGAAAGTGAAACTTGGTGCCTTAAAAAAAGTTGTTTTTTTTTTTTTTTTTTAACTTGAAAGGAAGCATAGGCTCAGGGCTGATGCTGAGGGAGGGGCAGAGTCCAGGTCTGCCATGTGAACGGGGGAAACTCAGTCGCATGAGCCCTCACCAGTGCCTCGAAGGGGGTGTGTTAGTGGGAACTGGACCTGGGCATTGAACCCAGATACTCTGGCATCTTACTTGCTAAGCTAAGTATCAAACTGTTATTTATTACTGCATTGTGCAAAGTTGTGGGACTTAATATTATTATTATTATTATCATCATTGTTATTATTACTATTTTAAAGGTAACCTTCTGGAAGTAATTAGAGATGAAGGACTGG